TGCCTTAGACCCCTTAGTATAGTGAGGATAACTCACCTTGCAACTGACGTCAGAAACTAGAAAGCTTCAACTCCCAGATTACCAACACGAACTTTACTACCTATAATTACCTGACATCCCTTTTTCATAAGTTTCCAAATTATCAGAATACCCTCAGAAGTCATTTGGTTAACTCTTGGTCAAAGTCAATGCCCACAGTGAAAGACAACGGTCCATGTTGACTCGACTCGTCGAGTGCAGTTCACCGGCTCGTTGAGTCCTTCCTGAACTCGAGAAGTCGTGAAGTCCTTGATTGGCTCGTTGAGTCCTCCTTTAACTCGTCGAGCTTATACGCGTCCAAGAATCGGGGAACTTTAGTCGACTCGCCGAGTTTTCTAACGACTCGTCGAGTTCAAGGCAAACTTCAACGGACTCGTCGAGTTCACGGCCAAATTCATCGGGCTCGCCGAGTTGTTTATCCAACTCGCCGAGTCCTCGCAGACCTTCATCCATGCAGACACTTTTTAAGCCATGGCAAGGCTCCAGGCTATAGATCCAAGCCTCTAAGGCACGTTTATCACGTAAAGTTGGAAACTTTACGCACATGCAATGTTCTAAAGGCTCCAAATGACCAATATATGCTTCTAATGGGGTTTTACACCTTGGGAGAGTCTCATTCTTGCACAAGCTGGAAACTTTATGTACTAAGAAGCCCAAAGGAGCTCAGTTTTTAAGTTACAACTTCAGATCTGAGGTTGCAAAGAAGGGGTATCTTCCAAACACACTATGAAACCCTAGAAGTTGCCCAAAAGAATGAATGAGGCTATGGCAATGATTTATACCTCCCAGAAGATGCTAATCACAGAAGATCTTAGGTCCTTCAAGATCCTTGTTGTTGAATGCTTGGTCTCCAAGCTCTTTTCTCTCCAAGAATCCCCACTTCAAGCTTAAAATGTACAAGATGAGCTCACACACACGATCTAGACTTAAAAGGGACAAAATGCAGTGAAGGGGAGGCTGGGAATGGCCAATGATCCTTTAAATAGGGTGTAATGACCCGAAATTTAGGGTTTCATTTGCCAGGTCCTACTCATCGAGTCCCTTTGTGGACTCGGTGAGTAGATCACTAAAGTCGCGATCCCACCTCGCTGCTACTCGACGAGTAGGGCAACCTTACTCGTCGAGTAGGACTTAAAACTAAAGAAATTCTTTTTTTAAATCCATAACTGAGAATCGGGGCATTAGAATTCTCCCCCACTTGAACTAGACTTTGTCCTCGAAGTCCTCTGGAATAAACAACACTGGGTAGTGCTTGTGCATCTCCGCCTCCGGTTCCCATGTCCACTCGGACCCCCTCCGATGTTCCCACTGCACCTTCACCAAAGGTATTTCCTTGTTCCGCAAAATCTTCTTCTCCCTTTCCAATATGGCCACATGCCTCTCCACGTAGTTTAGGCGCTCATCGACCTGAACATCATCCAACGATACTACCGCCGCCTGGTCCGTGATGCACTTCCGTAACTGCAAAACATGGAACATGCTGTGAATCCGGCTAAGCTCCTCCGGAAGCTCAAGCTTATAAGCCACTTTTCCAACCCTGGCGATGATCCTAAATGGCCTAATATACCGAGGGCCCAATTTTCCACTCTTTCTGAAGCGGATCACACCCTTCTAGGGCGAGACCTTCAGCAGTACCATGTTACCTACCAGGAATTCCAACTTAGATCGGCATCTGTCGGCGTAACTTTTCTGCCGACTCTGAGCTGTCTGCAGTCGCTTCCTGATCTGCTGAATCTTCTCGGTAGTCTGTAAGACCACCTACGTCCGACCCATTACTCTGTGACCCACCTCGCCCCAACAAGCCGGGGTGCGACACCTCCGACCGTACAACAGCTCGAATGGCGGGGCGCCAAGACTAGAGTGATAGCTGTTGTTGTAGGTGAACTCCGCAAGCGGTCGGTGAGAATCCCAACTCCCGCCGAAGTTGATGACACACGCCCTCAACATGTCTTCGAGGGTTTGAATAGTCTGCTCGCTCTGGCCGTCTGTCTGCGGGTGGAATGCTGTGCTGAAGTGCAATCGTGTGCCCAGCTCCTCGTGAAACTTTTGCCAGATACGGGAGGTAAACCTGACATCCCAATCAGAGACAATGGAGACGGGAATCCCATGGCGAGACACGATCTCGTGAACGTACACTTTGGCCAACTTCTCGGCCGAAGCGCTCTCCCGCATGGCCAAAAAATGGGCACTCTTGGTCAATCGATCCACGATGACCCAAATGGCATCAAACCCCTTCGTCTTCCTTGGAAGCTTTGTGATAAAGTCCATCGTGATCTATTCCCATTTCCACATGGGGATCTCAAGGGGATGCAGTTTTCCATGCGGCCTTTGATGTTCGGCCTTGACCATCCTACAGGTCAAGCACCTCTCGACGTACCAAGAAATCTCGTGCTTCATACCCAGCCACCAATAGCTCAAACTCACATCTTGGTACATCTTGGTGTCCCCCGGGTGAATGGAGAAGTGGAACTTATGAGCCTCCTCCATAACCATCTGTCTAACCCCACCAGACATCGGAACCCAAACCCGATCGTATCGGGTCAGCAATCCCCGGCTATCCTGCGCGAACCTGGTGTTTTCATCCTTGATCCTCTCCAGCTTCAAATTTTACGGTTGCATGCCCTTTATCTGGGCATCTCTATTCATAAGCGGGGAATCCACCGCTATCCTCATACATACCGCAGGGGTGGAAGATCCAACCGACTTGTGGCTCAAAGCATCCGCAATCATATTCTCTTTACCAGGGTGATAAAGGATCTCACAATCGTAGTCCTTGACTACATCCAGCCACCTATGCTGTCTCATGTTCAGGTTCGGCTGATCCATGATATGCCTCAAGCTCTTGTGATCTGTATAAATGGTGCAGCGGACCCCATAAAGATAATGTCTCCATATCTTGAGAGCGAACATCACCGCCCCCAGCTCTAGGTCATGCGTAGGGTATCGTTCCTCATGCGGCTTCAGCTGCCGCGATGCGTAAGCTATCACTCATCCTCTATGCATGAGGACCTCCCCTAACCCTGTGATGGATGCATCACAGAACACCACAAAAATCCTCAACTCCCTCTGGGAGTGTCAAAACTGGTGCCTCACACAAACACTGACGGAGGGTCTCAAACGCCCTCTGCTATTCGGGACCCCATCGAAACTCCACCCCTTTCCTTGTCATACGCGTGAGGGGTACTGCAATCTTGGAGAAATTTCGTATGAATCTTCGGTAGTATCCTGCCAATCCCAGAAAGCTCCCAATATCTGAGGGAGATTTCGGAACCTCCCCCCTGCATAACTGCCTCGATTTTGGCCGGATCGACAAAAATCCCCTCTTGGTTGACGAGATGTCCGACGAATAGGACCTCTCATAGCCAAAACTCACACTTTGAGAACTTTTCATACAGTCGTTCCCGTCTCAGGAATCCTAACAGATCTCGTAGATGCTCCTCATGCTACTCTCAGGTCTTAGAATACACCAAGATATCATCTATAAATACTATGACCGAGCAGTCAAGCATCGGTCTGCAGACCCGATTCATCAGGTCCATAAACACTGCTGGTGCATTGGTGAGCCCAAACGGCATCACCACGAACTCGTAATGTCCATAACGAGTTTGGAACACGGTCTTCTCCACGTCCTCCTCTCTGACCCTGACCTGATGGTACCCGGACCTCAAATCTATCTTGGAAAACCAAGATGCGCCCTGTAATTGATCGAATAGGTCGTCTATCCTCGGGAGTGGGTAACGGTTCTTCACTGTTAGCTTGTTTAACTCCCGGTAATCAATGCACATCCAGTGCGAACCGTCCTTCTTTCGGACGTAAAGAATCAGCGCTCCACATGGAGAACTACTAGGTCGAATGAACTGCTTGCCCAACAGTTCCTGTAGCTGCGATGACAGCTCCTGCATCTCAGGCGGCGCCAATCGGTACGACGCCTTAGAGATAGGGGCGGTACCTGGCACCAGGTCGATCCTGAACTTGACCTGCCTCTCCGGAGGTATCCTTGGCAACTCCTCCGGAACCAAATCTGAAAACTCCCTGACCACTGGTACATTGGAGACCGAAATATGGTCCCTGACTCGCGTATCTACCACGTACGCTAGATAACTCATACACCCATGCTGAAGGTACTGCCAAGCCCTGGCAGCTGACAAAAACCTGAGCCTACTCTGGTGCCCTCACCATATATAACCAGTTCTCCCCCACTTGGGGTTCGAACTACCACTCGTTGGCCCTCACAATCAATCATAGCACCGAAACTACTGAGCCAATCCATGCCCACAATCACGCACACCTCCCCCATGGGAATTGGAATCAAATCTATCGGAAAGGATACCCCGAAAATCTCCAAGTCACATCCTCGATAAACTGAAGAGGGAGAAACCCCGTGCTCGTTGGCGATAGACAATCGCAACAGACACTCTAAATCGCCCACCAGCGCACTGAACTCACTATTAAAGGACTACGACACAAAGGACCAACTCGCCCCCGAGTCAAAATAAGACCAAAGCAGGCAAAGAGTTCACCAAAAACGTACCTAATTACAGGTACAACAGATAAGCGTACAATAGATAAATCAAACAAGATGAGGATAGAAACATACCAGCAACCACGTCTGGCGCCGCTCTGGCCTCCTCCGCCGTGAGTTGGAAAGCACGTCCCTGAGCCTTCGGAGGTTTTGTCCTAACTGGTCTCCCGTCTGTAATCCTCAGAGTCGCAGGCGCTGCAGCCTGCACCGGCTTGGCGGCAAGTAACGAGCAGTTGGCACTTTATATCCACCACAAGGGATGCTTGCCGCTTCTACGTGACTTTTACGGATGATTATAGCAGATATGTATATATCTACTTAATCAAGAAAAAGTAAGAAACTTTTGAAAAGTTCAAAGAGTTTAAGAATGAAGTGGAGAATCAGCTGGGCAGGAAAATCAAGATGCTTCGGTCGGACCGAGGAGGAGAGTACCTAAGTCTTAAGTTTCACGACTACCTAAAAGAATGCAGAATTGTTTCGCAATTGACGCCTCCGAGGATGCCACAATTGATTGGTGTGGCTGAGAGACGTAATCGGACCTTGTTGGACATCCTTCTTTGCTACAATAACTTTATCATCCTCACCCAAATTTACAGTGCCTAAATTATTAAAATCATAAGTGAATGATCTATTTAACCTATTCATGTATATTTTATGTATAAAAAAAATACATAAATAAATACTTACTGTCATCAAATTCATTTTTCTCAAAAACAGTCAAATTCTCATTCGCATCATATTGAAGTCGTTTCTGATGTAGACAAACATAAACCAAGTTTTCAGTACCTATAAAATTCAAATATAAAAATTTAAAATCATATATGATTAAGCTATATATAATAATAAAATATGCTTACCTTGATCCAAAGTTTTAAGAAAACTTTCAACAATTGGATCACAGATGAATTGACGAAAAGATACACCTTCGTGGCTATCAATTAGACCTACACTCTTAGTAACATTTTTAACAACAAAATTTAAATTCATGGACTATTCTTCATTGAATCCACTTCCATTTCCTTGTTCATCATCTTCCTCATCTTTCTCATTCAACAAATCATTATTTTTACCAATATCATCCTCATATACATGATCATTAACATCACCTTTACCTTCAACATGATTTTTACCAACATTGTCATCATGTGCACCACTTCCACCCCCTGACCACCAGAACATTTCCATTGATCATCATCTCTAACATTTTCATAATCAATCAAAAAAATCATTCCCATAATCTTCATCGTTAATCAAAACTTTCTGTACTTAAATCTTCAACAGGAAATAATAATTTCCAAATTTTCAAATTTTGACTTTAAGAAAATTTCAACACTCCCTCATTTATCTTTACAACAAGATCCTTTTTTAAATCCTCCATCTTTTGATACATATATGAAATTTTATTTTCATACACCTACATAAAAAAATATACTTACAAATAAAATACTTAAACATAAAAGTTATAAATGAAACTAATAAAATAATAAATGAGTAAAACTATAAAAATACCTCCACAACATTAACTTGATTAACATCAAAATTTTCTTCATCCTCATCACACAAATCCTCATCACCACCAGATTCTTCCTCATTATACTCAGATTCTTGACGTTCTTCTTCAACATATGGTTCATTAACATCTCCACATCCAAATCCTCCATTCTCTTGTAAAATATCATCAAGAAACCTTATTTTCTCTGACGTCAAATTTAAAATAGTTGGATGTTTACGTGTGACTTGCAAATGCTGAAACTTGAAACTATTTACATACAACTACAAAAAACATATATAACAAATTAGTTAACTTTCTAAAAAGATTTACTTATGCAGTTTAATATATCATTAATCATAATATATATATATATATATATATATATATATATATATATATATATGTATGTATGAATAATCATATATGATTATGATCTGTAATATATAATTAAATAAAACTTAGAATATATAATCATATATGATTATACAATCATATATGATTTGTAAAAATAAAATATATTATTAATTATAATAGATGTTGGTTCCTTTGAGATATATAAAAAGTTATATATGATTATAAATAATCATATAGGATTATACTGTCTGATATATAATAAATCATATATGATTATAAATCATATACGCTTAAAAATAAAAACAAAGATATTTTTACAACTAAAAAGAATATTTAATATAAAAAATTATCTCACGTACCATAAGGTATGCTGCTGGTCCATAAAAGAAAGAAGATTTTTTCTCCAGGTTGTAAACCTTCTTCGTCCTTACCAAACAATCAACAATGAGATTGCACCAGTCAATGCTACTTAAATCAGTATCTCTTTTGATTAAATACAATGGATTCAGATTACATTTTCCCATGCTTGTAGACTTACAAAATGTATTAATAAAAAGAACCAAAAAACTGATTCTAAAGTTATCATTTGCTCCACTAGTTCGAACAAGTTCATTCTTTAGCTGTTTCAATCTCAATTTATCAATATTTTCATACTATTTCAGTGACATCCCCATTTTCACGGCCAGAAAAGACCGATTTTGTTTATGCTTTATAAAAATCAGAGTACTTCTTTTCATAAAAATGTTGCAGAATTTGTTCCCAGATAAATACGATAAATACGTTATCAACATATTTTCGAAGAAACGTATTTTATTCATTTTAAAACGTTTGGGATGTCATATTCAATATAGAAACATAAGCATAAATAGAACTTACATTTATTTACACTAGTGATCTACATCTCTTTAATGTCTCAGTGTAATGTGACTTCATATCAACACCTGTGATATAAATAAACCGAGTGGGTCAGGTTGGGAAACCTGGTGGGTACATAGGGTTTTCAACCCAAAATAATATAATTATAATGTTTAAACAATCAAACAATCAACCTAATTACCCATCCCCATTATCTTCTTTAATCTTAAGGATCTACCCTAAGAATCAACTATTCCTCATTCATTCATTCCTAAGGATCATCCTAAGGAATCGGCACAAAGTCCATCGTTGCCACGGTTTACGCAACGATCACTAAGTCTGCATAGTCGCCAGGGTTTAGGTATCAAGTCTGCATGGTCACCAAGGTTTAGGCATCAAGTCTGCATGATCACCAGGGTTTAGGCATCAAGTCTGCATGATCACCAGGGTTTAGGCATCAAGTCTGTATGATCACCAGGGTTTAGAGTACACCGGGTGAACACATCCTTCACAACACCTACAGGTTGCGAGTTTGCTAGTGTTCCACTGGACTGTCTAGAATAGTCAGTGGTTGTCATCCATACTCTGCTGAATGACGGGCTATCATTTGGGAAAAAGGCTTCTCACATCGTCCACCTCTCACTCTCACCTCATGGTCTATAACACCTCTCAACTCATCATTCAACTCATATTCCATCTATTATATCTACCCATGTTTACACCAACATTATCGTAGATATAAAATACATATACAGTTTAAATCATTTAAAACATGTATAAAATCGTTCATTTAGCATAGACAACAAGTACTCAGATAATATGCACACATAGCACGTAATTTATATAAAATACTTCATATCTATGTGTAAGATGAAAGTTACTATACACTCACCTGAGAAGGTGGTGACTCGGTACTCGGACAATGCTTCGTTTACTTTAAAATAATTTCCTTCGACGAAACCTAGTATTATTACCACTAGATTTTAGTCTAATATTTACCGTGACTAATTATTAGTCTTATTATTATTATTATTATATAAGCGTTTAAACAATACTTTCCAACCACTATGTACAGACAGGGGTCAGACATAAAACACTAGAGGGCAGGACCATTTTGGCGTATAACACTTCTGAAATCCAACAACCCTATGCAGCCCTTTAAACCCGATTCTCCGTACCGCGAGTAGTTAAAAAGATATTATAACGACACTTATATAAGTCATAATAATAGCTCAAATATTTATTATAAGTTCATAATAACAATATTAATTTTATATATAAGCTATATTAAAATAGGGTAAGCATAAGTTACTTACAAGGGGATTTTAGCTAGGAGTCGGGCTCTGCAGGTGCAGAACTTCGTCGCTGAATCTTTCATAGAAAGATTCGTCGCTGAATATTTGTACTAAACTAATGTCGAAAGAACTCAACATTAGTCTTATGATGACCGCATCGTCGATACCTTTCTAATGATATATAAATAAGTATATATATGTGTACGCATATATGATTTATACTTTATTTTAATACGTAAATATGTTATTATAATTTGTAACTCGTTCATACGAACTCCGTTTTTAACGTTCATTATATCCACATGTAGGTGGAGACGTACTCTACAAATTTCGTTTAGACTCCGTCGGCTAATTTTGAAAATATTTTTAAAGTTATATTTTTAACAGGCCGGGACAGGATTGGTCCGTTAAAATCTCATAACTTCTTCATCTGATGTCCATTTTTGTCCGTCTTTTTATCATTACACTAATAATAACGAGATCTTCGATTCTCGTTTAGGTTGTGTAGGTTAAAAACCGCTCGATCTAATACGCGAACTTCAGGCTGTACACCGCTAAGCCGAAACTTCGAAAAATCATAACTTTCTCATAAAAAGTCAGATTTGGGCGTTCTTTTTATGGACTTTCTCAGGTTAACATATTCTACGACTTTCATTTAGATTACTAACGCTAAAAGTCGCTCTATCATAAATTCACTATTTACGACTTCGCGGTGTCGTGCCGGTTCCGTCGCTAAACTTCGACGGGTCATAAATTCTTCGTTATAACTCAGATTTCGGCGCTCTTTATATGTACGAAAACCTTGTAACATATACTACAACTTGGTTACAACTATTTATTATAAATATTATTTTGCTGAAAAGTTGTTTCCGACACTTATTGCTTCAAAATTGACTAGCCCGGATCTACGGGCGTTACAATTATCTCCCCCTTAGGATGATTACGTCCCGGAAACATCAACGAAACAGGGCTCACATGATGAATCCATACGTTATATCTTCATCCGAAGTTATATCTGTAACTTTGATGTTTCTTCGAACGAGTATCTAACTCTAAGACTTCCTGACTGCAGGCGGTGCTCGATCTTGCACTTGCTCCCTATCTCACCTTAGACTCCAAATTATGACCTTTAAGTCACAATCTCGATCCTCACTGAATACGAACTTAAGATAAGTTCTTTTATTACTATCATGGATCGATGTGTCATATTCTAATGACCTCTCATCGTATGTTGTAATGCTCAGACTCTGGTCTCTTAGAGTCAAATTCCAGAATGGAATATACCTTCCTTCATGTCTAATGTGATAGAATCACATTTTAATATGTAGAATTTCTAGCTACTAACTTCTTTAACAACGAGTGTGATACTTCTATTAATCGCTTTGATTATCTCTCACTTCAATGTTCTGGCTTAAGGCAGATGCTACATCGAACTTGGTTCTCTTAACGATGTAACATACTCATCGTGGTCGGACTCAATTTGATATGACCACTAGGGTCTGAATAACAACAATCTTCTTAGTTATTGCCAAAACGATGGTAATGACATGCTTGAATAAAACGGACTTAATTATTGGCTTCTTGGTAACCTTGTGACTTTCCCTGATCCAAGCGTGAGTCCCGTGCTTCCGATAGTATATGCATCTACTACCTTTCACACCTACTCATACTCGTCCCAAGTATTGTCTCGCAGTCCCCAAGTCACCATATAGGAACATCACATAACAGTTTAACACGTCAGATAACAAAACGAAGACTTTATTATTTCTTAAAACTATTACATAGGTTTTCAAGTTCACCCTAGACTATGCCTCTAATAGGCTACATCATATGGTTCTATCTCTTTGGCTACCTCATAGCTTGATCTTCAGGTATGAATTCCTCATCCTTGGTTCCTCGCATTTTTTCTGCTTCGTCGAGGATCATGTGGAATGCTCTTGGCCTTGGTGGCGTGTTTGGCCTTGCTGCCTCGTTTTTCTTTGGGCAGTCCCTAGAAACATGACCTTCTTGGTTACATCCATAACATACCTTCTTGTTGGACGCACACTTGCTGGCGTAATGCCCTGTCTTTCCACATTTTTAGCAAGTTACCTCCTCGCTACATTTCCCGAAGTACTTCTTTTTACACTTCTCGCACCACTTGGTTTCACCTCCTCCCCCTCCTTCAGTCTTTGAGAATTTCCTTTCTTTGTTGGATTTTGAAGATCCTTCATGCTTCCTTTTCTCGCCAACTTCTGCTCTCTCCAGACCCTTTTCCCTAATATGGGTTTCAACATTCCTGGCTGCCCAGATGGCTCCTTTCAAAGTGGTTGCTTGCTTGACCATTGGTCCAAAGTCTGCTGGTAATCCATGGGCAAACTTGTTGACATTGGAGAGCTCAGTTGGAACTAGGTAAGGAACAAGCTTCATTTTCTCCGTAAAACTTGCAGCATACTCGATGACACTTATCCTTCCCTTCTTTAGATTCTGGAACTCATTGTTGATCTCCAGAAGATCCTGCTCAGAGTAGTACTGCATCTTTAAATGCACCAGAAAATCTTCCCATAACATCTTGCTCGCTTCTCCTTTGGGCATCGAATCGGCTATTAGCTTCCACCAGCTTAGTACTCCAGATTTCAACAGAGGAACCGCGAGAGCAGTCTTTTGCCTGTTGCTACACTCGCAACTCTCAAACATCGTCTTCATCTCGGAGATCCAGTTCATGACTTCCACCGGCATCAGGCTTCCGGATAGACTCGGTGGTTTGGATGCCATGCAATCCTTGTATTTTCATCTACGTCCGTCATTTCCTTCATCCTGGTGGGTTTTCCTAACTATTGGTGGGTTGGCTTGGCCAACAGTCCCACTGTAGTTTCCCTCCTCAGTCTGCCCTTCGTTCAACTTGGGCTGTTCGATCTGTATGGTCGCTTTCTCTCGATTTTGCTGGAGCAAACATCTGGTTTCCTCCATTTGATGATCCAACATCGCCTGGATCATCGCTTGCACTCCGACCATTGTTATTGACTCAGCAGCGGCTACCACAACCGGTATTTTCTCAATTACTGGGGGTTGGTTTCGGTTCCCATTTGCATTCACGTTTCCGCTATGGGTCCTTGCCATCTTGATCTATATACCGAATAAGGTGAATCTAGATCTTTATTTAGGATTGACATTTAAATCGTCCTTATCACTCCAAAACTTTTATATGCTAGTTCTAATATCGTAGTTAAACGCTTATAATCCTAAACACATAAGGTTTCCAGATCCGATTGGCAATAGACCATAGATCCGAACAAATAACATCATATCATGCACAAAGCATTTAGCACCTAAAAGCATTTTAGGCACAATCCCTAAAATAATCTAGTGCTCACACCTCACAATCATCGCTTAACATTCTAAGTTTAAGTCTAGAAATAAATCCATATTCCTAGTTCGCTTAAGCTAATGCTTTGATACCAACTGTGACATCCCCATTTTCACGGCCAGAAAAGACCGATTTTGTTTATGATTTATAAAAATCAGAGTACTTATTTTCATAAAAATGTTGCGGAATTTGTTCCCATAAAAATACGATAAATACGTTATCAAAATATTTTCGAAGAAACGTATTTTATTCATTTTAAAACGTTTGGGATGTCATATTCAATATAGAAACATAAGCATAAACAGAACTTACATTTATTTACGCTAGTGATCTACATCTCTTTAATGTCTCAGTGTAATGTGACTTCATATCAACACCTATGATATAAATAAACTGAGTGGGTCAGGTTGGGAAACCTGGTGGGTACATAGGGTTTTCAACCCAAAATAATATAATTATTATGTTTAAACAATCAAACAATCAACCCAATTACCCATCCCCATTATCTTCTTTAATCTTAAGGATCTACCCTAAGAATCAGCTATTCCTTGTTCATTCATTCCTAAGGATCATCCTAAGGAATGGGCACAAAGTCCATCGTTGCCACGGTTTACGCAACGATCACTAAGTCCGCATAGTCGCCAGGGTTTAGGCATCAAGTCTGCATGGTCACCAAGGTTTAGGCATCAAGTCTGCATGATCACCAGGGTTTAGGCATCAAGTCTGCATGATCACCAGGGTTTAGGCATCAAGTCTGTATGATCACCAGGGTTTAGAGTACACCGGGTGAACACATCGTTCACAACACCTACAGGTTGCGAGCCTGCTAGTGTTCCACTGGACTGTCTAGAATAGTCCGTGGTTGTCATCCATACTCTGCTGAATGACGGGCCATCATTTGGGAAAAAGGCTTCTCACATCGTCCACCTCTCACTCTCACCTCGTGGTCTATAACACCTCTCAACTCATCATTCAACTCATATTCCATCTATTATATCTACCCATGTTTACCCCAACATTATCGTAGATATAAAATATTAAAATACATATATAGTTTAAATCATTTAAAACATGTATAAAATCGTTCATTTAGCATAGACAACAAGTACTCAGATAATATGCACACGTAGCACGTAATTTATATAAAATACTTCATATCTATGTGTAAGATGAAAGTAACTATACACTCACCTGAGAAGGTGGTGACTCGGTACTCAGACAACGCTTCGTTTACTTTAAAATAATTTCCTTCGACGAAACCTAGTATTATTACCACTAGATTTTAGTCTAATATTTACCGTGACTAATTATTAGTATTATTATTATTATTATTATTATATAAGCGTTTAAACAATACTTTCCAACCACTATGTACAGATAGGGGTCAGACATAAAACACCAGAGGGCAGGACCATTTTGGCGTATAACACTTCTGAAATCCAACAACCCTATGCAGCCCTTTAAACCAGATTCTCCGTACCGCGAGTAGTTAAAAAGATATTATAACGACACTTATATAAGTCATAATAATAGCTCAAATATTTATTATAAGTTCATAATAACAATATTAATTTTAAATATAAGCTATATTAAAATAGGGTAAGCATAAGATACTTACAAGGGGATTTTAGCTAGGAGTCAGGCTCTGTAGGGGCAAAACTTCGTCGCTGAATCTTTCTAAGAAAGATTCGTGCAGCGCTTCAGCGCTCACCTTACTATATTAAAAACTAGAGAAAGAGAAGTCGAATCACGAGGGACCGAAATGCTTGGGGGATAAGAAGAGAAAGACTCTTGAATCAAGAGAATGGTGCAAGAAATATGAGAGCCCAAGGCTCTTATTTATACTAATTGAATTTTCAAAAACTACCCTCCATAATTACTTAATGACCTTTTAGTTATATAAACAACTAAAACACCCCTCTATAATGCTATTTTAAATGGATTTAATGAATTTGTACT